ATATATATATATCTCTCTCTCTCTCTTTCTCTCTCTCTCTCTATCTCCCTCTTTCTCCCTTTCTTTCTCTCTCTCTCCCTCTTTCTCTTTCTTTCTCTCTCTCTCTATCTCTCTCTCTCTCTCCCTCTCTTTCTCTCTCTCTCTCTCCCTCACTCACTCTCACTCTCCCTCTCACTCTCAAGTATTAATATTAGTCTCTGATAGTTGACATTTTTGTTAACCATTTTTGTTAATTATCAAAAGAAAACAGTATACAAGATATATCTTAAGAGATATTTTTTGATACAGTGGTAGTGAAGAAATACAAATACAGGGACTTTGGAACTGAAATTTATATAAGAATTATGATAATGATATTATATGAATGAGAAAGAGAAAGTTCTTTGGTTTATTGATGAAAGAATTTACTGGTGTGAATCTGAGAAATATACAGAATCTTTGACAAGCCAGATAGTTTACATCCAGATATCTGGGATATATTTGAAATTGCAAGGCTGTTTAACTTAATGGTGATAGAAATTTCAGCTATTTTTGTTTTTGGTGTTCACTCTAGAATGTGGATAGTTTAGACTTCATGAAAAATGCTGGATAGATTTATGTTTATATTAATGAACATCAGAGTAATAGTTTCAAAATCTGATGTCTGCTTGATCTGTCTGGTTACAAAAAGTTAGATTTTATGTTACAGGATACCATCATGGTTGTCAAAGGCAACTCTGTACTGTGGAGACTGCTAGTAATGTGCACAGTAATATGGCTAATAACTGTGACGGCAGGTGGTGACCAAGTCCACACATCAGATGTTACTCATGATATGGCTATGGATGGTGATACTGTTCAGAAAAAAAAACTCAAAGAAAATATGCCCACAAAGTGCAAAGAAATTGTTTCAGATGAAAAGAGATATGTTGGGATGACTGATACTCTTAAGTTGCAAGATGATAGTAGTGCATGTAGCTTAGACCGTGGTGAAGAATATGCATCTGACAAAGAGAACTTGAAAAATGCCCAAGAAACAGAAAGAGGCAGCAGTGAATTAACATCAGAACAAAACAGATGCTCTTCAGTATGGTGCCATACTTCCTTTGAATCTGGCCTTCGGTGTCACTTCAGCAATTTGTATTACAATCATGTACAGGAGGAATTTGTTTTTGTGTATTGTGATCAGTCCATTATCTATGGAATAGAAAATTTAAAATCTCTACAGGAGACATTATATCTTTCATCAGTGGAGAACCATTCTGCATTTAAATTGTCAATATCTGTCATAACATGGCAAACATTTACTACCTCATATAGAAGTGAAGTCATTACTGGACAGAGCTTTATAATGGCTCGATTTAAGCCAGATAATCTCTTGCATGTTTTCCATGATGATTTATTACCGTTTTATTTTACAAGCTATGAAATATGTGCTGGCAAGAAGTCATGTCAGTCCAGGTTAAATGTTATATTTGTGGATAAAAATGACCATGGCAAACACTGGAGTTTTTACAAAGTGTTATCAGAAAGGGTATCATTAATATCTGATCTTAGTCATAATGAGAAGGATGTTTGGTCTCAATTTGAGCATATTCATTTTGGATTAAACAAGATTAGTGTATGGTATCAGTATGGCTATGGTAAGCCCCAAGGCCCTACCACCAGTACTAGTTTTTCAGGCCACCTAATGAGGAAATTCACAGATTTTGTCCTAGAAGGCATGAATATTCAGCCAAGGGAAACAGAAGTTCTACAGGGAGTGCTGTTCTCTCGAAAGTCAAATCGTAAGATAATAAATGAAAAGGAAGTGTCCACTGTTTTGAAAACCCAGCTTACTCGAATAAGTGATGGGCAAGAGGTAGATGTGAAAATACTCTCTCAAGAAGAACATGGCTTTCACAGAATGATAGAGGAGTTGACTAGAACACATGTGGCAGTTGGAGTACATGGTGCAGGACTGATTCTCTCAATGTTCCTACCTCCTGGTGCTGTTTTGATAGAAATATTCCCTTTTGGTATCAGTCCAGGTGCTGCAACAGTGTTTAAAACAATGTGTGAACTAAAGGGTGCTGGAATTACATACATCCCTTGGTCAAACAAGGATTTACAAAATACCATCTATCACACTGATAACCCAGCACATTATGGTGGAATAAGCCACTTGCCTAGGCATGAACAGGAGGAAATGATTCATGCTCTTGGAGGTAAAGAAATAGGCAACATCGAATGCTGTGATGATCCTACATGGCTTTTTAGGATATACCAAGACACAGTTGTTCATATTGAAGGAGACAAAACTGACTTCCAAAGTATACCATTCTCAGAAGCTATTGTTAATGGTTTACAGAAAGCTGAAATGTATTTGCAGAAGAGTAAGATAACTAATACACAGATGGAGCTTTATCCTTCTGTGGTTAAGAATGCAAAATGCAGTTTAGAGAGAACTCATGAATCCACCAAACTTTTTGCTGAGTGGAAACCACCATGGAACATTGTGAGTGTTGGATGTACCAATATGTTTTATGAAGTGGTAATGCAAATAAAAGGTGACATCAATGCAATTTACAATGAAGTCTTTGAGAATAATTTTTTAAAGAGATTAAGAGCAGATATTGAGACTGTTGATTTATGGATAACATGTTTTTGCAATAATATTGAAGGTGTTGTACTTTATCTCAGATGCATGTAAACTATTTTGTATAGACTATATGTAAATATTTATGATTATATGAGCTACTCTTGTTTAATTCGTTGAGATTATTTTTAAATAATTATGCTATTTTTAGGAGAATTTTGTAGACTTTGTCAAACTTTATTTAAGACTTATGATAAGTATACTTTTTTTATGCTATATTTTGTGTTGTCAAGAAAAAAAATATTTTGTAATTTTTTGATCACTTGTTTAATCTCTAAGGTCATTTATGGGAGTTTTTAAAGGGTTCATAAATATGTTGCTATCCTAGTAATATTAATGATAAAGATGAAACAACATGTATTATATAGAAATAGGCTGTGAGTTATATAGCACTAGCATTGGGCTAGATATAGCTGTTTAGATATATACCCAAAGAAGTGTGTAGTAAGATAGTTGAAATCCATTATTTATTATGTGCATACAAACATATAAACAGCAAATGAACTAAAAATCTTGCAATGCTTAGAAGAATGTGATGTAGAAATTTTCTTGGACAGTATATTGATATTTCTATTGACGTATATATTAAGATACAAGAGTTCAGAATTAGATATTTTATTGGTTAAACACTTTTCTTTATACTGTGGTTCAGTATATAGTACTTTTATATTACATTTTGAATAAAGTTTTCTTTACAAATGACATTTTCTTTGCCAAATTTACAAAATATGAAAGACTTGTGATATAGACGATGAAATATATATACTTTCGTGAAAATCTATAATCCTAAAATAAGCTTCATTGTGAATGGGAATAACCTTGCAGTATTATTGTCAGGCTAAGTTCACCAAGATGTTATAATTGTACCCTGGTGAATAAAAGATGTATATTATTAAAGGTAATATTTTTGTGAAGAAAAGGTAAATAAGCAAGAGAAAACTATTTCTAAGTTTAAGCATTCATTCATTAGATTTTTTCTTAAACATTTATGGTTTGGTTCAGCTTTAAGACTTTTCTTACATGCAGATATGAATTATTTCTTTAATTTTACCCTGGTTTCATGTAAACAGTTCAACATTTTGAAGTGCCCAACCTGGCCATGACCGTTCAATTGCTCTGCTCAGTCACACATTTGTGCCAATTGTGGTGGCTCCCATAATGTATTTTATAGGAGCTGCCCAGCATGCAGGCTCGAATCTGACCTAGCAGTTCTCAGATTCAAAGTAGGCCTCACTCTATTTGAGGCCAGATAGGAAGCACACTAATGAGGTTTTCTCTTTCTGCCTATTCCAAAACTGTACTTTGCTCTATTCCCATCTTATCTTCTCAAAGATATTTTAGCAGTTCCTCCTGTATCTCTTTCCTCTAACCTGAACCATCCTATCTCTATCCCTCTCTCTCCCAGTCAAATTCTTTTTTTAATCTGAATCCAGATACTCCAATCTCTACCACTTCCCTGATGTGCGCCACAATTCCCTCTTCTTTCCCCATTATCCTTTTCCATTCCCACCTGGATGATCATGTGGCCCCCTTATGTCTCAGCAGTGTCTGACAGATGTTTCCTTACCTGACATTCTTCCTGATACTTCATCACCTTCCCCTGTTCCCTTATCTCATGCTCTGGATTCTTCTACTTCTCCATTTCTACCAGCGTTACCAGTTGATTGTTTCATTATGTTTTTTTTCCTCATTGTGTTATTCTCCCTTCCTCAGACACAGATACTCTCCATTTGACCTAATCACCCTGTATCCTTAACCCCTTCCCCTTTACAAATCCCTGCCATACTCCAATTGCTCTCCCCTCTTTACCCTTTGCACTACCATTCTATCTTACAGCACTCTACAACCTTTGACATCTAACACATTTTATCCTAATCATTATAAAAATTTTACCCTTTTTGTCACAATACTTTACCATAGTGCTCTGTGGCCTTTGATGTCTAGGACATTTATTAGTTTTAACCATTAACCATTAAAACATGACTACCAATTTAATTTTTCTACCTATATGACAAAATTTTTAATACCAACAGTAAACTTGTCAGTCAGCCATGGAGGCCAAAGGATCACAAGGCAAGGAAGAGCAGTGGCTGCCGGCTGTACGTCATTACCATCCTGGGATATGCCATGCTTGTTTAGAAATGCCCTCACAGAAGTGCTCCCTCAAACGGTGTGCCCAGTGCCAGCTCGTGTCCTATTGCTCCAAACAGTGCCAGAAAAAAGACTGGTCATCTCACAAGTAAGTGACTTTTTGCTGTCATGACGATACTTTCCAAAGTCTACATAACCTGTTTTTTTTATCAAGAAATGATTATCTACACACATGTGTGCATTTTTGAATGATTAAACATATTGTTTACTGTAAATAAGTTAGCTGCTCTCT